TTATACTTTCATACACGTGTTCCATGGCATAATACAGAGAGGCTTTTTCCTGCCCTAAATTATTTGAGCAGTAGAGTGTTACGTACATTGTGGTCCTGAGAGTACATCTGTGTATCTTTGCTGAAACATTACTTTAAAAAGAATCAACAGGCACACTGATGAGTGGTTTAACTTTCAAGCCCCATTGAGTCATTGTGAGTCTGCTGCTGCCAGCAGGGATAGTGTGTATGTTGGGATGTGGACACCTGTCTGAAGGGAACTGGACTGCTACCATAAACTCATTGCACATAGGTCACAAAACAGCTGTCAGCCGCTACTAATTCTAGCCTGTACTTGACCAGGGTCAAATGTGAAGTTGATTCCTGGAGGTAAAAGTTGATTTCTCACACTGCCTGTAATTTAACCATTGAAGGAAGAACATGGCCTGTGCAAAGTGACATAACAATGTCACGTACACTTTGCATAGTTCTATTTCCTTTTCACAAATAAGCCGATTTTACCATTTTAAATGTAACTTCCTTGTAAAACTTCTGCATCAGACTATACTAATAGCAGCATTGTATTTAAAGAACCCTTCAGTGAGATAAATCATAAACCTTTGGTGTGTGAAACCAGTGTAATAAGTAATAGGCAGCTGAAGATTTTCTTTCAGGTAATCTAAAATCTTCACATTTCCTAGATCACCATGTATTGTGTATTCTACTACTACTACTACTACTAGAACTAGAACTACTACTACTACTACTACTACTCTTTAAAAGGGAGTCTTAAGCAAAACTTTTTTTGGAGTATTGACTAAAGTAGGAACTATTAGACCAGGGGTAGGCAACCAAAGCACACATTCTGTTGTGGAACTACAAGTCCCATGATGCATTGCACAGTCATGACTCCCAGAGGCAAGATAATTTCACCACAGCTGGAGTGCCAAGGGTGTTTATCCCTCTATTAGAACCTCTATCATATTTTTACCACCATCTGTGTTACCTCTAGGGAGATTTCACCAGATTATTACCAGGGCAGTAAAGGAGCAGTATCTCCAACGGGCATAGAGATAACAATAAATACACTCATTTATAGTAAGTGGGGAAGGGTTAGAAGGTTTGGCAGGTTTTCATTACTGTATGTGTCCCTGTTGGGGATATATATTTCCTCACTTCCTGTCTCTGTGACAAGTATCTCTACACAACAGGAAAAACACAAAAATAAAAATGAAAATTCAACACCCTATCAAAAGAATATTTTTTTTTTTTAAATCCCTTTCTATGATTTAGGAAAATAATTTTCTTAATGTGTCATCACACCTTATGAAAGATCCATTTGAGTTGCTAATGATAACCAGCAAGCGTCTTCGTTTTTTAAACTGATCTAGAAAAATCAAAGGGGCATCTGATTATCTGCTAATTACTCTTGTCGATGGAGGTTGTTCACATTTCAGCCCTTTTAAGGGACAATTCCAAATTTGTAAACATCACTGGTAAATCTACATAGTAAAAGGTTGAGTGCACTTAAAGTGCAACTAAAGACTCATGTATAACAGTCTAAACAAGTACCAGTTCCAGTTACTATATGATGTACAATCCTAATAAAGTAACAAAAACGTCCTTCCTTCCTACTCATTTGTGCTTCACATGCTCCCCCTCCCAGACATTGCAGCTTACAGTGGGAGGGTTTTAGCAAACATAAGCTGTGCTGTCAATCTAGATAGTAGTGGGCAGGACTAGGTGTGGCCAGGAACTGTTTGACAAGCTACAAGCTTGTGAATCATCAGTGACAACTCGGATAGGCACACCTCCTGCAAACTTGTTTTCATCTCACTGTCGTGTGTAGAGTACAGGCAGGGTTAATTATTTAAAACCAAACTCCCCAATCCCCCAGACAGTGAGAATTAAGCAGGATTTTTTAGTCCTGGAATTAGCAGAAAGACCATCTACAAAATGGTAAGCTACAATTTTTTATTTTTTCAAAGTTATGCCATGTGATAGGAAACATGTAACAAATATAAAGTAGGCATTATCCCCATTTGGCTGCAAAAGTGGAAATGCACTTTAATAACCCTTTCTGTCTATTGTCTTTCTTCCTTGTTACTGATACAGTTATGCTTTTGAATATCTGTTGCAATTCTTTGTAACAGTTTGTTATCAGATGGAACAAATGTCCCTCGGGGTTAATTACTTAATTGATACTTGTCTGCTGTTATTTATCTGTAGATAAAACCTATTGTGTTGTGTCAAAACATATGATCTCCACAGCACAAAGCCACCTAAAGTAGGTCATGTTGATTCTATAAGCATAGATTCCATTAAAGCTTAATTAATCTTGTCACACAGCAAAGCAGTAGAAATAAAAAGCACTGATACATTTTAGTAGACCAATTTAGAGCAGGATCATGGCTTCACAATGTACTGCAGTATAAAACATACCCTGGACCATACATACCCTGCAGGATCAGGTTGGCAGTCATTACGTTTTTAGGAGGTCAGCGATAGCAGCCCCATATTTCTCCCGCTATAGGTTTGTTTAAAAGCAGTGGTCCTTTGTCAGTGTAATTTTATTTTTTATTTTCCATTCCATTTGTTTATTATTTAGCTAACAGTCGTGCCCCCCAAAACAGATTGAGGCTCCAGGCAACTAGCATTTTTATAAAGTAGAGTACAGCAATGGCAACCTAAATGTATATCTCATGACAGGTTTCCTATAATAGCCATCAGCTTCAGGAAGGCACTCAGCAGTCATGTTTTTTTGACATAGGTCACAAAGGCTGTAGAGGTATGTACTTGCATCTAAGTGACAGGTTACCACCAAAGCTCACAATCAAATTGCAGGAGGGGTGGGCTAGGCAGATAAGCAAATCTTGTTCTCATTGGGGTTAAGGTGATGACCGATGTAGCCATCCAAATAGAGCTGCAACTAATTATTATTTTCATACTCGATTAGTTGGCCGATTTATTTTTCGATTTAATTGGATACAAAAATTCAACAAATACTATCCATAATTTAAAATAAAATACACAAATGCAGTGTTACAAACAAAAAGTTCACTTCAGAATGAAACTGCATGCACATTTTTTTGTAATCACACTGCACTGGAAAGCACGGCATTGCAGTACCATGCGTTCCAGTGCGGGTGATCACACTGTGGGTGGGAGGCGCGTTTGGGGTGCCATTGAAATGAATGGCACTGCAACGCACCACCCGCAGCAGAATTTGTCAGCCCGAAACCGAAAATGACTTTTTCCCCACTTCTTAATACTACATTGCGAAATATCCAGCATTGTGTAAGCATGTTTCATAGTGAAAGACCAGAGTATATTTTAAGACAAAAGGTCCTATTGGGCAATAGATTCACCATTCCAAGTATCAGTTCCTCTCACAACTCTTGGGACTCTGATGTAACCTTTGCTTCGCATTTCCCAGACATACTGTATGCAGTTTATAGTATGTATCGTATACATGTGTAACCCTGTTTCTGGGGGATCATTTGAGATGACCCTCACCTTGCAGAATTTACATACAATGCTGTTGCAGCACCTAGGCAAACAAGATCCCTAGCCTCTAAGTAGGAGTTTAAGACAATGGGGGTGATTTACTAACCTAAACACATGCACGCACCAGGTGCGTGTGATTTTTACACAGCAAAGCGTAGTTATCAACCAAAAAGTCTCTATAAGCATATTTCCACTAATGCCATATATGGAAAAATCATGCACATGATGCATATATAATGCTGCTTCACAGTTTAGACAAAAATGGTTAGCTCATGCATTTACATTCCTGCATTCATCAACGCAAGCAGCACAACGTAGAGCTAATTTACACAACATCACCTTGCAATTCAGGGCAGGGCTTTGCACAACACACCTGCTGGGTGTGTACACACTACAAAGGTGTTTAGATTCCACCCATAGATCATGTTGGGAGGGAACACACTACAGAGGTGTATACATGTTCGTGGTGTGTTTTATAAGGTTAGTAAATCAACCCCAATGTCTCTGTGTTTAATCTTTACTGCCTCCACCCAGAAGGGCCTCATGAGGAACTCCCTCCTAGGAACACTTTGTCCCAAAGACACATCATACTTGAATACAGTTCAACCGTTTAATCCGGAACTTGATATAATGTAGAACAGGAGAAGGTGGAATACCCCAAAACTCAATGATCAGGCTCTGACAGCTTCTCAGGCTAGAAGTCCCTTGGTGGGTCTCGGATTCCAGAAGCAGCAAACAGAACCTCTTCTTAGCACACAGCAGCCTCAAAACTGGAGGTTCTAGCATTTCTCTGTCGCAGTGATGACTCTAGAATCAGACAGATTATGCCAGCATGGCCTTAACCCTTTTGTTGCCACCATGTATGAGAGGAAAGAAAGCTTCCTAGTCGCAGCCACCACCAGTGCAAATTAGTACTGATGTCATCCAGTACCAGAAATCATGTCATCCAGTACCAGTGCACATTCACCTCTCTCCTGCATATGTCTGATCCATCCTGTGTCTGATCTGACCTGTAAATTAACCCCTCACCCTCCCTATCCTGCACACCTGCACATTAACCCCATCCTCCTACTGTATGTGACCTGTACAATTACCCGTTTTCCTCAATGTATGACCTGTACATTGAATGTATCTAGTGCACTGTTGGGTGTATAATGGTTCCATTTCAAATTTTGCTATTATGGCTTGTGATTTCATGATATGTCCCTGTTGTTATACCTACTATATCATATGTTTTGTCCGATATCAGTAATTCCATCTAATTTATTATGAGTTTTATGTGTGAAGAATTTTTGCTTTCGGCAATATACATTTGTGTTTTGCTTGTTCATTCCATTTTTTAATACAGGCTGATATCTGTATTTCTTTCAGTCACAGATGCAGATTTCTAAGATGAGGCTGGTTTTTCTGGTTTTTCCTTCTCACACAACTACAGAAACATGTTCTTTAGGTGCACAGATTAATCAATAAATGACATCCAGTAACACAACTGTCTGTTTTGTCTTTTGGCTGTAGGTACTTTAATCTTATTGAAATACCCTTACCCAAGTGAGGTAGAAGAGCCATCAATATATGAATCTGTCCGGGTTCATACTGCCATGCAATCTGGTCGCTCTGAATCTGACCTGGTGCCTTTGGCCCCCTCAGTGAGTAACATAAATCAGTTGAATGCTCTTTTTTGTTCTGTGTACACTGCACCCCAAAATGTTCACTACTTTGCTAGACTTCTTTTAAGGTATCACATTGTGTCCAAATGTTTTCTATTTTATATGCAAACTACTTTAAAAAAAAAAAAAAAAAAAATTATCCAACTTAAAAAATGAGGTTTGTTTTTGGAGGGCAGGGGTTAATGGATAAGGTCTTCTTTAATGAGACTATTAGGATGCACTGTCTCTTTGCCCTGAAGATTAAATTATGAATATCTCCTTTAAATGACTAAAGATATTACACCACAGAGTACACAGAGACCAATAAGGAGGCTTGAAATAAGGGAGGCATGGGGCGAAGCTTGACTTGCCTGTATCGCTGATTCTGGCTCCTAATATCTCTTTACCGTGCCAATTCCTTGAAAGGTAACCTCAGAGTACACATATTTTATACTCAGGTCTGTTACACTTTATTTTTACCTTGTTTTAATGTTGTTTTTTTGTGTGTTCTCAGTTGGGCACAAAGGAAGGATATCTTACAAAACAAGGAGGACGTGTAAAGGTAAGACATATAATTAAAGTGAACTTTTCCATTCCCCAAGCAAGAAAACATAGGGATAGCATCATAATTAATGACATCAGCTGCCTTAACCTCTTGCCGTCCGCCCGTAGTAAAAAAACGGACGGACGGCATTGCTACATCTGCGGGTTTTTCTGCTCGCGCGCGCCCCCTAGCGGGCACGCACGGGCAGAAAAGACCCGACGATTAAACACACCCATTACCGGGTGTTTCACATATAGGCGATCAGCGGGTCCATAGCCCGCCGATCGCCTATATGTGCTCGTTCGCGGCACCCCCCCCCCGTGCTTCCCGGGATCCGCTGCCCCATCTTGGATCCCGGGACCGGCTCGGAGGGCGTCAGGAGGAGGAGGACGGGAGATCAGCTCCTTGCTGATCTCCGTCCGGGCTGTGAATGCAGAAGTGATGTGTATTACATCACTTCCGCATTCACCTGTCAGTCATCTGGCTGCTATAGCCAGAGAGAAGAAGCTGATAAAGCAGATCTCTGCTTCATCAGCTTCTTTTGGGGTCCACAGGTGATATTAGGGGTCCTAGAGACCCCTAATATCTCCATAAAGAGGACCTGTCAGTGTGCCTTTGCTATTATATAGGGGGTTGTTATCCCCCTATATAATAGCAATAACAATAAGTGCAAAAAAATAAATATAAATAAAAAAAAATAAAAGTAACACATAAAAAAGTAAAATAAAATAAAAGTCACATATAAAAAAAGGGGAAAAAAACCCCCCAAAATGTTTAACTCCCCCACCCCCACGTTTACGCGCCTATAAACGTAAATACGCGTCCGGTGCCCCAGCGCGCAAAAATTACAATTGCGCTACACATGTTACATATCGCCGCGAACGTCGCAGTGAGAGCAATCATTTTAGGGCCATCAATCACTGATAACACTAAACTGATGAGCGGTAACAGCTTTTAAAGCGTCGCCTATGGCCAATTTTGGGTATTATCGTTTTTTGAGGTTTCGCGCGCGCACGCAATTTTAAGGCTTGACATGTTTAGTGTCTTTTTACCCGACGTGACCCCATCTTTTATATTTTACCAAAAAATTGGGTAATAATAAATGTTTTATCATTTAATATAGGGGAAACTGTTTTTTTTTTTAAATTTCGGTAATTTTTCCTTAATATAGTAAAAAAATAAAACCCCCAGTGGTGAATAAATACCACCAAAAGAAAGCTCTATCTGTCCCCAAAAAAGGGTATAAAATTCATTTCAGTACAGCGCTGCATGACGGAATAAATGTCAGTCAAAGTACCGCAGCGCTGAATACTGAAAAATGGCCTGGATGGGAAGGCGGTTTAACACCGCGCATGTCAACTGGTTAAACACATTCCTCCTTTCACCCTTATTGTTAAATAAATCTGGCATCATGACAACAGTCAATATCTACATCCTCATCTCCATCTATAACCATTTCAACTGGTCACTGATGTAAAGACGACTGTCCCATAATGGGCAGAGATGTGTTTGATGTTTGGGCTGGCTGGCTTTACCTTCTGCAGGCTGTGTGAAAGGCAGGATGGTGGTGCCCAATGGGGGAGGGGGGGGGGGGGAAAGTGGGGACCACAAAAAAGAGTTACTGTTCATTGATTACACTCTGGTGAGTTTGTAAGATGAATAATTCTTATTTAGTAGCAGTTTTTTAATCATTGGCAAATGAAAGAAGTCATAAGTAGTCTTTCTAACATACAAGTTCTTAATATTAATTTTCTCTGAAATTCACCTTTTAAAGGTTCCACCTAAAATTGATATTTTTGCATTTGGTAGATAGAATGAGGTTGAGTCTCCTATTAGCTTAATGTTTCTCATAGGGACTTTGCTGCTAAGATGTCTGCTCCTGAGTTCCTAGGTTTGCCCACTTGTGCTTACCATTATTAAGGTATCTGAGCAGGATGACTGTCAGGAGGAAGAATTAGACTCAAAAGAGGGGGCAAGAGATTACGGAATGACCACCAAAGTCCAAAGAGATTAAATAATGCAGTAAATGACCTACCGATAGCCAGAATATTTGTATTTGGTGGACTTATCCATCAAGATGACCAGATATATTTGAACATTTTTATCTGGTAACTTTTTCTATGACAGAGAAAAAGTTTTATATACTTAGAACAAGCATTGTAGAGATATAATAGACTTAAGAAGGCAAATGACTGGCAATTTTCATCCAAATGAATACGTATACCGTATGAAAGCATGTGTAGTCTATGAATTGATTTGCTGACAATGCATGTTTTCTGACAGACGAAATAGGAACCAAAAGCATCAGTGTATGTCTATTTGCCCCACAGACATAGACAATCAGATCGCCCTGTAATTTACTTCTTTCCCAATAAACACCTTAACGTTTTAACCATTTTAATTTTACAAGCTTGCTTAGGTTGTTTACTGATTTGCCCTAATTATTTCTGTATTGATATTTGACTCTTTTTATGACCACCCAAACATTTGAATCTGGTGCCCATCTTTCCATTCCACCGCCGATTCTCACTGCTGTGTTATTCTCTGTAATATAGAGTCACTATTCATTCACATGCATTTTACACAACATACAGTATAATCCTGGGAGTTACAATTTTTTCCAGTTAAATCTGATTAGAAGAATTTGTGAATTTTGGGTAAAAGCTGTGAGAATCTTCCATGACAACATGTATAAAAGATCACTAAGCTCTGAATCAATGCAATGCATCATTTTTTTTTAAGCAAACTGCCAATTTGTTTTTTGTGGGCTTTTTTTTTGTACAGCTTACGGCACAAAAAACACATATATGACCCTTTTTCTTTAAGGTAGCATGCTACAAGGCTTGGCATGTGCATTGTGGTGTGCTTCAGCACATTAAAAGGGGGCCTTAAAGGCTAAACGGGCCACTGTGTGTATCAGTCTATTTGTAGACGTTTTCTAGTATATGCCATTTGGACTGTGCTGTCCTCTTGATCTTTCATTTCAGTTCAGTCCTTAAATATCCATAATAGATCTGCTTTCAGGTCAAGCATGTGGCAGTATAATAGTAGTGATGAAAAAGTGCTGGCCAGCATCATTAGAACAGGATGAAATGTGATCTTTCAGCCTGGGATATTTTTGCACCAGTTCAGTAGCCATGCGCCAGTGTTGTATTGCTTCTGCTGAAACACTCCGTTCTCGAGTGACAAATCTGGAGCCTGGACAATCACTTCTAACCTAATAATTACCACAATGAGATAATTATCATCTTATGTCTTTCAGACATGGAAAACCAGATGGTTTATACTGAGCCGTAATGAGCTGAAATATTATAAGGACCAGATGGTAAGTTCTGTTATCTGTGGCAAATTACACACCATAAACACTTTTACTAAAGTTACACTGGAAGTACTGAATTTGGTAACTGACACAGGTCTGGGTGCTTTACTTAAGAGGATTGAAAAGTCATGCTGTTATGTGTTATACAGGTGAAACTCGAATAATTAGAATATCGTGCAAAAGTAATTGCAGTAAGTGCTGCAAAAGGGGCCCAAACCAAGTACTGAGTACATATGCATGCTTGTACTTTTCAGAGGTCCGATATTGTTCTATGTACAATCCTTGTTTTATTGATTGCATGTAATAATCTACTTTTTTGAGGTTGTGGATTTGGGGTTCTTGGGGTTTTCATGAGCTGTAAGCCATAATCATCACAATTATGACAAATCACGGCTTGAATTATCTTGCTTTGCATGTAATGAGTCTCTCTCATATATTAGTTTCACCTTTTAAGTTGCATTAGTGAAATAAATGAACTTTGCACGATATTCTAATTATTCGAGTTTCACCTGTAGATACTGTATTTAGGCTCCATGGATAGTAAAGGTACAACCACACAGAATCCTAATTTTCTTCTAATTTTTGGGGGTTTTCCCTTCAGTCATCTTCCTTACATTTTTATCAAAAGCTGTTTTGGTTCCTCTAAAAATGTTTGCTTATTTCTATGAAACGTCATCTTCCTTGTATTCATTTTTGTGACTATACAGTGACATGTTGACCTCATTTGTACATTGATGATTTGATTGTACTTTGTTTCTTATCAGTACAAGAGTTTCTTAGAAAAACTGTCCATACACCGATTGAATTTCACCATTAACTCCATAAATTAGCCAACATTTGATCCCTGGTTGGCCCTGCCGCCACCACTCGGCTCCACAAACTTCGATCTGAAAATCAAAGTTTCCGAGGGCTATTCGGCTGTATCCTAATGGATACGCGTGGCAGATACACCCCAAAGAAGCTCCTGTACTTCTTTGGGCGTAGGGCGTATTGCAGCGCGTTCCTACGCACTGTAAAACGCCCACGTGGGAACCATGCCCATAGGCAATCATTGGTTTCTCATGTTGAGCGTTTTACAGCGTGCAGGAACACGCTGTAAAACGCTCAGGTGTGAACCAGGCCTGAGTGATTTCTCCCATTCAGCCTATAGGGGTGAACTAGTAAAATCTTACGGTGTGTTGCTAGCTTTAGTTTTTGATAGGGTAGGAAAAAAAAGAATTCTGTCAGGTTTTTATCTCGGTATGTGTATCTTTGTCTTTGAGCTGCAATCACTTCTTCTCTGTGTAAATTGTTATCAGGGCAAGAAAGGGGAAGGAGCATTTTCCCAAGTTTTATACACTGAGTGGCTAGATTATTATGACCACCTGACGTTTGTAGGCAAACTAGCTATAATTTCATGCTGAAGTTGCTAGAGGGCCAGACCATTATAAATAGGGAAGCAGATTTTTTACCACGACAGTAGTAGTGATTTTTTTTTTTTTTTTTAGCCCCATTGCAATGGTTACAAGTCATCCAACCACAAATTATATTTCATTGCTCTGGCTACAGTAACCTGAGAAAAGTTAAATATGATTGTTTCTGTGGGTAAACATGATACACCTCCAGGCAGGTAAAAAGAGATTGTTATCTAAAGAAGACATAAACATGTCAGACTTGGTGATCTGTTAACAAGGAATTCAGAGATGTAAATAATTTGATTCAGCAATACACAATTTTATGGACATTGTACAGGAAAGCTGTACAATGTATACCCATTCCCCATGGAGTAAAAGGATTATTTGTCATAGAATGATGGTCACCGAAGAGAAATGCTAAACATAGTGAATGAAGCTATGATTCTTTAGTTCATAGCTCAATTGTTCCAGTTGTTTCTATGACCTGTATTATACAGTATCTGAACTAGAATAATAATGTCACTGGTAGTGCATGAATAAAAATATGTATGGCCGGTGCCACCTTTGGGGAATTTTTGGTATCTGCTAAACTTCTAGGTGATGCTGTTTAGAGTTAATCTGCATTGTTTTTCAAGATAATAACACATATATTATAATTAACTAGCATGGTGTGCTTCTCTTTTTTTACAGGCTCAGGAGCCAATAAAGACCCTAGATCTTACAGAGTGCAGTGCAGTACAATTTGACTACTCACAGGAAAGAGTCAACTGTTTCTGGTATGTGGTGTCTCAAACATATAACATTATGTCCATTGTTTCTGTGTGGACAGGAAGATCCATTATAGGTAAACAAGGAGAAATCCAATTGTAGTCATTTTATTTTCAAATGGACCATGTGGGCTTACAGCATTATAAAAATAAAGTGTTAAAACCATAAAGGCTATGGCAGTCATACACAAGTGGGAGTGTTCAAAAACATGACCACTGCTCTTCAGTATGTAATAACTAAATTAGTCCAGCTTATTGGTCATCTTAGGTCTAAGCTACTTTGTCATGTTAGAACAGGGGTCACTAGACTGCAGCCCTATGCTAGACTTTAACCAGCCCTTGGGGCATGATTCCCTCCCACTAACACTAACAATGGTTCTGAAATTCCAACGTAGAGCCGCACATCTGACTGTTCATAAAAGAAATAAATTCATGGAAAGTTCATACCATCCAAGTACACAGCAAAATCATCCCACACCGATCCCATAGCCTCGCACGCGTTCCACCAGATAGGCTTAATCAAAGACTCATGTCGTCATGTCTCTATGATTAAGCCTAGCTGGTGGAATGCGTGAGAGGGTATGCGATCAGTGTGGAATGATTTTGCTGTGTACTCGGATGGTATAAACTTTCAATCAATTTGATTCTTTTATGAACTGTCAGAATTCTGAGAAAAGTTAAAAATTGTGGAATGATTTTGCTGTGTACTCGGATGGTATAAACTTTCAATCAATTTGATTCTTTTATGAACTGTCAGATGTGCGGCTCTACGTTTGAATTTTAGGATTTCGTTAAGCAAGCACGTATGTTTGGAGCCTGCACCTGATTGATGTGACTGGTTGAGTCAGTGTTGTCCAACTTTGGGGATTGAGCGCTGTATATTTTGAAATTCAATGACTATTTTACTATTCCTCCCACTGACACCAGTGTTGGGGTGCAATTCTTCCCATTGACAACAAAGATAGGGTACTATTCGACCCACTGACACTAACAATGGGGTACTATTCCTTCCATTAACATTAATAATAGGGCACTATTCCTCTCACTGACACCAACAATGTTTCACTATTCCTTCCACTATACTAATATACTAATTCCACTATCCACAAGCACTAGACCATGATTTACTCCCACTGCTCAGCACCTCTGGGGCATTGTTTATTCCCACTGATGCCAGGGAAGTTTCTACTTCTACACAGTGCGGTCCCACCAAGGTCTGAAGAACAGTAAACTGACCCTTTATTTAGTAAGTTTGAGGACCCCTGTGTTAGAGTAATGGTGGGAAAGGCATAAACCTAGCATGATGCCATAACAGAGGCCAGGTTTTTGGGGTTCCTAAGATGCTCTGGAAATAAACTCAATAGGTGTGCAGACACCTGGAGGTACCTTCTGTGCACTCCACTTGCCTCCTTTACAATGCTGAAAGAGCCAACAATAACACTATAAGCTTGGATAAGTACATCATGTTTTATTCTATTATTATCATATACAGAACCACAAACTATATACAGTATCTTACCATATCTTTTTTTAAAAGGAAGACTTTAACATAATGAAGAACGCAAGGGCTTTTAAATGTTAAGACAAAATTATGCTGTGAATGTTATAAGCTCGACCCTAATGTTGATATTGTTTCTTCACAGTTTGGTGTTCCCATTGAGAACCTTTTACCTTTGTGCAAAGACCGGAGCAGAAGCAGATGAATGGATTAAGATTTTAAGATGGAAAATGGTATGATTATCATACTCCCCTACACATGGTCCTTGCATGTTGCAGGAATCAAAAAAGTGAAGTACAACATACTTGAGTAGTGTCGGTGATACATTTTTTATTTTCATTAACTGTACTACTTAGGCTTTAGAAGAAGGAGGTAGGTCCTGAAAGCTTGTCCAGAAAATGGAACTGTTTGTACAAATAAAAAAAATATGGAAAGCATTGAGAACACACTATGTTGTTGCAATAGTGCACTAATACGGTCACGATCATCTTAAGCAAAGCAAAGTACCAGTCTGACAGACAAGATCATAATCTGGTCATGGCAGGTGGGGTTTAGGCAGAGTCATAACAGGTCAGGGCAGGTTGTAGACAAACAAACAGAATCTAGGAGAAAGGCTGGGGTCGTGACTGGAATAGAACTGGAACAGCTACAAGAGTCATAGGTCAGAGTATTGAATCACTGCAAAGAAAGGAGAAACATTTTTTGCTCAGACACGTGTTCAGTACATAGTTGTACAGCTTTGTAGTTGCCGCCCAGTCAGCACACATCTGAATGCGCTTGTGCTGCTATTTTTTCACCCGCAGATAGAATGGTGGTGCACATACCCTGTTTCCCCGAAAATAAGACCTACCCCGAAAATAAGACCTAGTGTGTTTTTTGGAGCCCCAAAAAATATAAGACAGTGTCTTATTTTCGGGGAAACACGGTAGGACATCACCCCAGCCAATAAGTTGGACATCTTTACCAGCAGTAGCCATTTGGTGAGATGATCAGCGGTGTCCCATCAGGTTCCTCCAAGCAAACAGCAGAGAAATCACACAGTGCAGAGTTTACAGATTCCAATATCTCACTGAAGATAAAATGGCAGATCATGGCCACCAGTGATACAAAACGGAAAAGACGGTGGTGCACAGGCATCAATCAGTGGCTGAATAGAGTAGCTCAGTCATTGCAGTCCAGGTTACAACATATGCTAAAGTAACTGTAAAATGTATTAATGTTTGGTTTTCTTTTATTCACAGTCTCAAATAAGAAGGCAGACAACTAGAAGATGAAGGATATCACAGAGATGAAGCATAACCCAGAACGTTGGAGCCCATGCTTAAACCCAGCCAGGCTCTTAAAAGAATATATTTTTTTTTACCCTTAAGAATGTTAAACATGTCAATATAAACTGACACAGATGCTTTAAAAACATAAATTAAGGAATCTTTTCCCCAATTTTAGGGCTCATATATGAGCATTGGATGTTTTGTTTTAGCATTCATTGGATTCAAGCAAGGTTTTACAGCTCATCTAGGGGGAACGTTTTTTCCAGGAGCGCTCCAGAGATGCATTGCAGTGTCATTTGTTGATAATGTAGACAAGGCAATGCATTCTGATGGCAGAAATGCAGAGCTAGATTATGGCAGTGGTATATACTGTATGAGCTGGTAGAAGAAATATCTGGGATGTTACACAGATTTCAAAGAACTGTGTACTTCAGCAGTACCCACCTGCTACATTGTATTATATTTATGTCACTGTGAATAGAGGTTGATGCTTGGAGCTGTTTGATGCTCTCTATAGATTCATGTAACTACTACATTCCATTACTGTTACCGTAGCCAGTGCATTGTTTACAAGTTTATGTACAAAAGAAAAAGCTGACAAACCCCTGGAAGGAAAATAAATTATGTATAAACTTTTCATGCGCATAATCAAAGTATTTTACTTTGGGAACATTTAGAAGGATTACAAAGGAAGCAAAATCACACGATACTTTTAAACATATGGATTGTCTTGTGTTGCTGTAGATATTATGATCTCATAAGGTATTTCTCTCAGTCCATTCGCATACAGATGTTCCTCACTTACCGACTTACCTGTTTTGCGACCACCACTTGCACTTACGACGGACCACCGATCGACCTCCGACCTTGCGCGTCAGCGTCAGTGCGACGTGTCGCCGGCGGAAGTGACATCTTCCGATCTTCACTGCAGGTCCCGGTAAGTATTTCCATTGCCCGATGTACAGTACACTGTTCGGTACTGTACATCGGCAACGCTATACAGTACTGTACTAATGCAGTAGAGTACTGTATAGAGTTCCTCACTTAACGACCAATCCGTTTAGCGACCTGGTCGTAGGAACGGAACTCGGTCGTTAAGTGAGGAATACCTGTATATCCATGCTGCTAAATGGCCCAATTACAAATAAATAGTAGTAATTAGCGAAAGAAAAATCAGTTTTACTGTGTGAATAGGGATGTTTTCTACAACAAATATTTGAAGATTAGACTGAGCTATTCAATAAAGCAGAGGACGGAGCAATAATAGAGTGCAATGTGCTGGAAACTACAACGCCTTCTCATTCAATTCACTGAAGTTATATGAATACCTTACCGAATGAGATTCTCCTGTAGTGTAAAGTGTTCAGCACCAGTCTGGATCACTGAATAAGTCTATGGGAGTTATTCACTTAGGAGCCGAAGGCATATGCCTTGGCTCGACTGAGCCGAAGTCACACCTAAAGCGGGGCGAACGGCCACGATCTCACGGCTAGCTCCGCCCAGTTGCAATGACAGCTCAGCATCCCCAAATGACCTGGGGACGCTGATCTGTCATTAAACAATAACAACTGGGCAAAGCCGGACACGTGTTGTTATTCATTGGCTAGGACCTGCTAGAAGACTCTAGCAGGTGCCGGCCAATAGGAAACAGTTGGGCGGAGCTCTGCCCATTTCCCCCCTTTTTAAAAAATCTTTATTTATTTTTACTATTGACATTTAAAAAATATTTTTTCAACTTTTTTTTTTAAACTCTTTTCATTGATTTGCTATTCTGCTCAGGTACCATGGAGGTATCAAGCAGAATAGCCAAGCCAATACTGCTAGGCGGCTATTCACTCACTGCAAAGTGAACAGGGGCGAACGGCAGCGAGGGAGCTGCCGGAGCATCGGCTCAGCCAATCCAGATGTTGGATCGTCTGAGTCGAAGCCCTTCTGCACTTCAGCTCATCAGAACATACAGAACATATTCGGCTGACCGAAGTGCAGCCGATGTACGGCTGAAATCAGCCGTACTGAGCCATAGTGAATAACCGAACGTTGTACTGCTCCCTTCACCTCAGTTATTCAATCGGCTGCCTTCGGCGGCGTTTGTGAATAACCCCCTATATATTTATTTATGTATTTGTTACACATTCTTGTATAGTGCTGTCAACTTACGCAGAGCTTTACAATTTATTCATTCATATCAGTTCCTTCCCTTAAGAAACTTACAATCTAAGGTCCCTAATCTCACATGCAAATTTAGACAGGAGCCAATTAATCTACAAGCATTTCATTTGAGCATAGGAGGAAACCCATCCAAGCACGAGAAGAACATGCAACGCCTATCCAGGACAAATATTGTACTGCCAAAATCTGGATTTGAACCGGGAACCCCAGCGCTGCAAGACAAACATACTAACCATTGAGTAAGCCACTGTGTAGTGTAAAGTGTTCAGCACCATACTGCCTTTCTAAATACGCCTATATACATATTTCTGTGTGGACCTCACTGGACTCAGGGCTCTGCTATGGACTGGACTCAGGGCTCTGCTATGGACTGGACTCAGGGCTCTGCTATGGACTGGACTCAGGGCTCTGCTATGGACTGGACTCAGGGCTCTGCTATGGACTGGACTCAGGGCTCTGCTATGCACTGGACTCAGGGCTCTGCTATGCACTGGACTCAGGGCTCTGCTATGCACTGGACTCAGGGCTCTGCTATGCACTGGACTCAGGGCTCTGCTATGCACTGGACTCAGGGCTCTGCTATGCACTGGACTCAGGGCTCTGCTATGCACTGGACTCAGGGCTCTGCTATGCACTGGACTCAGGGCTCTGCTATGCACTGGACTCAGGGCTCTGCTATGCACTGGACTCAGGGCTCTGCTATGCACTGGACTCAGGGCTCTGCTATGCACTGGACTCAGGGCTCTGCTATGCACTGGACTCAGGGCTCTGCTATGCACTGGACTCAGGGCTCTGCTATGCACTGGACTCAGGGCTCTGCTATGCACTGGACTCAGGGCTCTGCTATGCACTGGACTCAGGGCTCTGCTATGCACTGGACTCAGGGCTCTGC